ATACCAGTTTCTACAGAGCAAAAAAATATCTAGAAGTAAGAAACGCAAAAAAATAATAACGAAACGTCAGTAAATAATGATGCGCAGCAATAAAATAAATAAATAAAATAAATAAATAAAAAATATATATGCAATAATATAAATAAGAAAAATTTAAATAAAAAGACAGTAGAAATGATTGCTGAGCTGCAAAGCAGTAGCTACACCAACAACAAAAAGAACAGCAAAAAAAAAAACTTTAAGAAAGAATAATGATGGCAAAGTATAAAATAGCAACAGCAGCAGCAATCTGACTGTCACATAGTCATCAGTCAGTCAGTCAGTTAGATATTATACATAGATATGCATCAAACCTCTATATACACAAATTTATGCATACATATACTATATATGTAGCTAACTAAAACGAGTTGAAGATCATTATTGCTAGGTAACCATTCGCTTTTATGTGCTTAAGAAAAAATTTAAAATTTATACAGTACATACACACATATATATATATTTGATTTATACGCAACTTAAGTTGTGTCTACTTGTTCGCCATTCATGGCAACTTCCAACAACGTACATAGTCGCTACAAGTGAGTAGAAAAGAAGAACATTTATAGATAAGAAGTTGAGATGCAACGACAGAAAATGCATTTACTTACACACACATATATGTACAAATATATATTTAACTAGTCAGCAGCGAAGCGAATTTGAAATAATGAAGCAAGAAGTGGTTGAAAAAAGTAAAAGTTTGCATTTTATTGTATTCCAAAGAGTAGAGTGCATAAAAAATAAGTGTATTTAAAAGTTCATTGAAGTAGCAAATTAGAGCAGTAAAAGTGGCTTGATTTGATTTAAATAAAATAGCTGAAAAAATATGCTTAGGGTCAGAGCTTAGCTAAATTAGAGACACTCTAAAACAATAAAAAGTGTTGTTATTGAGAAATTAAATAGTAAATTCTGTCTGTTTATATTGAAAATCTCCTGAAAAGCCCAATTTAGTTGCTAGCAAGTTTTCGCGAAATTTTAACGAAAAACACTAGTTATTTATCAGCGAAAGTTAATTGTTTTAAGAAAATAATTTTAAAGAGAAATGTTATAAAATAAAATTTCTTTTTTTTTGGAATTTTTTCAGATTTTAGTTACCGTAAAGTTGATTTTGTAGATTTTTCAAAAACTATATTTTATATACAAATATTATATGCACAAAAAACTATTGTAATATCCAATCAAAAGCTGCGCTATGGATATATGAATTAGTGGAATAAAACGTGGCCTACATTCAGGCGAGAATTAAATCATAATTTTTTTTTTAACGAACTTGGGGCTAAGGATTGTTTTTAAAATACATTCTTGTTTTCTATAGCTAGCTCTGGTAATTTTTTTAAAATATTTTTTTTCAGAAAGTTTCAAATGTTGACCAAATATTTATTATTTCTCTCTTGAACTTTATTATTTTATATTATTTCCAACTCTCAGTGAGTCATGCTCGTATAGAGAAATAATCAGAAACAAAATATATTTAGTAATAGATCTCGATTTTCATCCACAAAAATATAAGTATTTCGGAAGGTCTAATTTTATTTTGAAAATTCTTTGCTAATTGCCTTATTTTTAACGGTTAAACATTCAAGTAAAGTAAATGTGAAAAATAAATTCAAAAGCATTGCAAGTGCTCGTAGCTCCATGCAAAAGAAAATAATAAATCATTTGAAAATTTTGTGGTTTTAAATAAATCAAATTATAATTAAATTATAATTAAGAAAAAAATAAAATCAAAGGGAAAACGTGTAATAATTATGATTACCGTCCTATGAGTAAAACGACTTTGGTTGAGACAACTGTGATTTATCAGTAAAACCTAATGTCAAATTTTGTTAAATTTTACAATAATTTTAAAACAGTAAAAATTACTTGAAAAATGCCTTTTTATGAGCTTTTGGACTTAAAAATTTTAGCAAATTTTCTGCATGTTTTATATATATTTAATTAGTGAATTTTGTATATGTATCCTCTTAATCCACTTGAAATAAAGAGATGTGAATCTGGAAATACTCTATAACGTTTATTTTTCATACTACTAATTTTCTAGTTATATTTTTAGCTTAACTTAAATTATAAACAGTTCAGGAGTGTCCAAAATAAAGAGCTTTTCATGGAGTATAAAGAGCCACAAAGTTGTGTTTAACATTTTTGGATAATGGCAAAAGTCCATATTTAATTTCGAGAAATTTCGACAAGATATTTCATTTTTCGGAAAAATCAAAGTGTTCTCAGCATCAAGGAAATTTATGTTCTCATCACCTTAAGAAGCGGTTGACTGAAATGCTTAATATGTTTTAGGTGTTAATAGTAGCTGCCAGGAAAATATTCTAAGCAATAATTGCTTACACATTTTTGAAACAAAAGTCGATTTCCGTTTAAAATTTTAATAAATTTGGTTTTAAGCATGTTACGTTGTTGGAAAATATTTTTTTTATTATTTTTCATACGATTTTCGCAAGCTTAGTGGTGTATGCCATATCGAAAAAGCTAAGCTCGGATTTTTAAAATCTATCTAAATTTTCATTTATTCTACTGAAATCAATGATTGCATTCGAGAAACACACTAATACCAACCAAACACATTTATTTACTTGCTCTCCCATAAAGCCTAAAATATAGCACAGAAAATATGATTTCATTTTCAAACGACAAGCATAGAATATTTAGCGCATACGTGTATAAACAATTTTTCCTAAATATTGAGTTAGAATTTAAAATTTGTAATTGAGAAAAACTGAAAATCGTTGAGGTATTGAATATTTTGCTCTTAGTTTATTAATTTCTCATACACTTTACGACGCACAAACCTCCATACTTGGCATTTAGACGTTATAATTGCAACGACAAATGTTTGCATCATCGAAATCACTTAAAAAAATTAGAAAATTGTTTCGAAAATCAAAAAATACTAAGATTTTTATCTCTTCAATTTTTTCACTCCATTTAAATTCTAATTATATAAAACACGTCTATCTTTGATTTAAAATACAGAAAAAAATCACTACAGCAACTTAAATTCGACACTTTAATTAAATTCCACAATTCAAGCACAGAGTTTTCTTGACAATGTAGCGCATAGACTAGGCATCGCTATTTTACTCTTATTCTTTTTTCATATCTGAAAGGTGCAGTTATATGTGGGTATGTAAATGCACAAGCAATTCAGAGCCAATTCACCTATTGACTGTTGACCTAACCCACAGTCATAAATTGTAGACTTATGTATTTTCATATTTATATATATACATAGAATGCCAAAAGCACTTAGTGAACATATATAAGATATATGTATACCCAAGCAGACGTATATACTCATTTAGACACATAAATTTGTTTACCCACCATATACTGGTATATAGTTTAGTAAATAAAGTGAAGATAAAAATCTACACAAATTAGAAAACGTATAGGTATTTGATTGCCAATAAAGTGTTTATAGTTAAGTAGCGAAAATTCAAAAAAAAAAAAATATTTGATGAAAATAAAGCAACAAAAAGTAAAATTCGTTGCGGCTGGATGAACTTGCAATTTTGTACACATACATATGTATAAAACATGTGCACACGTGTGTTTGCGTGTCAGCTATGGTTTTTTAAAAATAAAAAGAAAAAAACGCTTTTAAATTTACGTAAGGCATATTATGGTCTCTTTCGTTGCTTATTTATTAGTTTGTAAACATTTTTCGTAATTTGCTTCTATTACATACTTTAAGATTATTTTTCTTGTGGCTAAAACTATGCGGCCAGTAAAAGTACATACAAATATAAATTGTGGCCAACCGCAGAATATACGCAAACACGCAACAATTTAATTTATGTGTGTATTTCTATTTATTGACTTTATATCATTTCATACATATATATTTGCTATAATTTACGCGAATTTTTTGAGCAAATTTTTTTTTTAAATTCATTAAATTTTTTTTTTTTGCTACACTTTTGGCGAACAATTAATTTTTATGTCTTAGATTTTTATTTTATTTGTTGCCAATATTAAATTTGTATGTTTATTTTCCGTTTTATTTACTTTAGTTATTAATTCCCTTTTTGGCTTCAATTTCTGCGCAATATCTGTTTTAATTATTTTTTTAATTTTATTTTATACATTTTTCTTGCACAAAAACTTAACTCAAACGAAAGTTATTTCTTTGGAAGTACATACATATATTATGTGTGGTGAGACTTAAGTGTGGCAGCTTAATATTATATGTGTACATATGTACAAATATATGTTACACATATAACTTGTATTGGATTACTTAATTTCTGGTTTCGCGCAAATTACGCAAACTTAATGATGGTAAATGTTGGCGAAGGCCTGTCTTGTCTCATGGGCATACATACACATGTACGTACGTACGTGTAACAATTAAAATAAAATAACAACATAAGTTGTAATTATTTTTCATATAAGTGTCTTGACTTTTTCAATATTTTTTCAAGCTTTTTAGCCTTGAACATCAGCATCATATAACTCAGTAACTACTTTTTCTCATATTAAATTGCTTTAAGTATTACACTAAACTGGGTTAGTAGTAACTCAAGTAGCTCTTAAATAAATGGAAAAATATATTTTTAATATATATAAGTATTTTTTATAACTGTAATACATACACATAAACACTTCGACATGCACGAAAATTAAATTTTCGGCAAAACAAACGAAAATATATGTATTTACATAGGTAACAGTGTTCAAATGTGTCGAAATGACGTTGCAGACCGACGACGTGTTGGCGATGCCACCGACAACAATACAAAAACGGATACGAAATCAACAAAATTTCGCCAACAACTTTGTTCGGCTTGCGAATGAGATGTCTGACTGGCTGGCTGCCTGTCGCCCTGACTGCCTGACTGGTTGACTGACTAAATGGCTTGGCTTATAGCAAAACTTGTGTTGCCTTGCTTGAAGCGTCACGAAATGTACGAAATATATAGCTTCAAAGAAGAAAGAAGACTTACGAAGTCACCGAAAGCTGCTTGTGTGAGCTGCACCGTTTAAGGGTACTCCATACGCTCCAAGTGCGGTACTGGAAGGAAATGGGCGGCCGAGTGAGTTGGCTTACGAATAAACGCGCACAAAAGTATAACACTTATAAACACTTTTATTTTCACAAACGAATTTTTTTTCTGCTATTTTCTAGCCAAACACATTCTTGTTAATTGCAAATATGTATTTATTTGCAAAATATGTTTGCACAATATATATACATACATAAATGCATGTATCTTTCAATAATATTTCGTATGCTTTATGCTCTTTGTAATTTTGCTTAAATTTTTTTTTCTTTATTTTAATTTTTTTCTTTATTTTTGGTTACAAAACGAACCGTGCACGACGACGAGTGAGGTTAAGCTAGCTAGCGTGCGATTTGCGAACTTGCGATTGCGTTTTCGATTGCGAAAAACAGCTTATACACGGATACGGATACGAAGGAGACACCACTATAAAACACCACGCGTAATCGTCAAACGAAACGAACCGTTCGTAAACACGCTTCAACTGAAACTGAATTGTCTATGTAAAGCGAATGACTCCAATGGGCGCTTTTGATAGCGAGCAGCGAGCGAGTTAGCGAACACCAAACAGCGAACAGTAAACTGTGTTGGCTCAAACGATGAGCTCCAACAACTCAGTACGAAGTTGACGAAATTTTTCACCAATGCAGTACGGGCAGCTGCTTTGTACTCGCGTTGTGGCTTTGGGAGTAAGTACTTACGGCGTAGAGATAGTCGGTGAGTGGTCAGTGGTGAGTGGTGAGTAATTCAATGCAATCAGTAGATGATGACGAAGTCCAAAGTGGCGAAAATGTGATAACTTCTGTATATTCGCAGGGTAACGACGATGACCTCGCCGGCTCTAATGTTGTTGAAATGCACTTTTTATACACGTATACAAACACACACATGCACATGAGTTTACAACTAAAATTGTTTGCTTTGTGTTCTGTAATGTAAGTCATAAAATGCGGGCCGGCGTTTGGAGCTTGAAAAATGTATTAAATTAAGGTAAATAAATGCGAGATGCTAAGCACTTATGTTTATGTAACAGTGAGTGTGTAAGTCGTAGAATGCTGTTAAAAGACGATTGACTTTAAAAGTTATTTATACTAACGATTTTGAAATGATTTTTTTTTTTTTTGATTCTTTAATACCAAATTTTTACATTTGCAAAACAAAATTTCATCTTAGTATGATGATATTTTATAGACAACAATAAAAAGTAGCTTTCAATAATGATTACATATAGTAAAAAAATGTATCAAAAAAAAAAAGAAAAAATTATAATAATAAATATCACCAATGCACTCCAACTCCTAAAGAACTCTCCAACCCACAAACTTTTACTCGCTGCTCTCTCGTACAAATTGAAAACAGTTTTCGGTTTCCTATAATAACAATAAAATCTTTTAATAATTATATTCACCAACACCAAGCGCTCTCAACAACAATATGCAGAAAGGTTTTTGATGCCAGAAAGCTCAGACAAGATGAGATTGTGAAGACTGGTATTTAAAAGTGTTAGTGAGAGTGATAAGAGAGAGAAATGTTGCAATAAATGCAATTTAAAGTAGATTTTACTTAGCAAGTTATATTAAATAAAATGTTTAGTATACCTTATGGTATGTATTCTAATTATTTATACCTTAGAAGGTAGCCTACTCTGTGTAACATCATCCAGAATTATCATACTTCCCATTAAAAATTTGTTCCCACGTAATGCTGACGTCAACAGAAAAATTACATTTGTTTATAATTTTTTATGGTTCTGAAGGACTTTTTTATCAAATTTCTGATGGCAATTTTTACCGTTTTTTGAGGCTTGCTAACGAGAAAGCAAAAACTAAAGAGTTGAGCTCTAAAAATTTGAGTATGATCGAACAACTTAAGTGAAGGCCTAAAGCCCACCGTAAGCGATTATTTTGAACCAATCAAAGCTATCATTGGCTGTATTGAAAGTCATCATTCATTCGTACATTTCAAAGCAACCTTCGAAAGCCCAACTGTCGTTGAACAACACAGCAGCTCTACCAGAATTGACATTGCTGGATAGTTCGAACTACAGAGCTGATCAGATAGCTGTTAACTTGGATAAAGTAGGCAATTGAAAAGTTAAGTACTCCCTCGATGAAAAAAACTAAACTTTACAATCGCTCGAAAGAGAAAAGGTTTGCAGAAGTACTAGGATCCTCTAAGCACTAGAATTACCCGTTTCCAAGACGATCGAATCACGAGAAGTACGATATATATGACGATGTGGGCAAAGTTCCGCAAACTAAGAGGCCGTGTCTAAGTTGTCAGAACAACTTTGATCGTTTTCGTTCCACAACTTAATGAAGAAAGCAGAGGAAGTGGAAGGCCTCTAAGACCCAAAGTATACATTACACCCTAGCAATTTCTTCGCAATCTAGTAAGCCATTATGGTGGTATTACGGTACCATATCGATTCTTTAATAAAATTTATTAGCTTATTTATTTTATTTTATTTTTACACGAGACCTCTTTCGAACCCTTTTTGGCCAAGTTTGCCTTGATATGACATCGTTTGAGGGCATCTAAACGCGCCCTTGTCATAAGTAAATTATTTAAATAAAATTTTGGTTACCACTTTGTTTCCGTGTCGATTCTGCTTTGTCTTGCCTTGACTAGCAAATTCGTCTGCCTTACAGTTTCCCTGTGACAATCAGCTCTCTTTGATCATCTCTTTTAGAGTTTGGCAATATTTTTCTCCAGTTGTTATTGTTATTGTTGTTTTTGTTGTAACCACAAAATATTTCCCGCATTGGATTTTTGGGAATATTGCGGGAAATATTCGGCCTGATAAAAAGTAGGGTTGTATAAATACTCGATTGTCAGGGGAACTACCATATCGGGGTTTAGTCATCTTTTACGACAGGCATGCGTTCCACGGAAAAATTCTGGAGCCCCTAAAGACTGGGGCTTTTATCTTATAAAACGCTGAATGGTTTTGATAGCAGCGAAGGGGGGTTTTTTTGAATAAAAATCCTTATATTTACCAATGCAATTGACCAGAGTGTCGAAGCCATCATTGCGTCCTCCCTTTTGGAAAATTGAGTTTTTAATATAATAATCTGGGCACTTAAGCCTATTTCCTGCACATTTGTCGGTCTCCGGCTTCCCTTAACCATCTGCATGTTGTAAAGCGGATCTTCTGTTAAATTACAATGAATTCTGTAAACTCTCTGCTAATCATGGGCCCACATTTACACGTAGCATAACCAATTTTCCCTAATATAACTATTTCCACTGCACACTCTTACTCTCTGTTAACTGGCATTTAAAAAAATACTGTTAATCATCATTTAACATACTGTTAGGGAACATTAATTTACACTTCCGCCAGTTCGCTGTTTGCTTACATGAAAACTCTTTAAACATACTGATGCTATGGCTCTCGTTACCGCTGCAGCAGATGTTGCTAAACAAGTTCCGATGCCGGAAAGAAATGTCAATACTTCCGGCTGGATGTGCTATGGGTAAGAGCACGTGTGTGTGTATTCAGTTTACTATCAACCGACACTGATGCAACCACACAGCTTGTTTTCATATTTTTTATTTTTCATATTTTTTTTTGGTTATTATCGAAAGGGAGAAAAGTAAGCTGCTCTCTTTTTAGAGGCGTTAAGAGTAAAAGTGGGTACTCGCAATATGTAGATAACATATTTTTTATTTTTTTTTGCGCAAAGAAAGGTGTTTAAAGAGCAATCAATAGAGCCACCAGCAAACTGGGTGAAAAGATGCAACAAGCGTTTATGCTGCAATAAGCGTTTGTTGCGTTACTTTCGGGGTTTTTTTTTTGATGCCGATACTCAGGCGGAAAGAAATGTTGAGTAAGGTTAGGTAACTGCTTTTCGAAGATGGAGATATTAAGTGATATGAATTTTTTTTTTTGTTTTTTTGGTAATTTCTTCCGGTGACACATAATAATTGTATGTAGTAGTATAATTTTTATTTTTGTTGTTTGTACTTAATTTGTTTTTTTTTTTTTTAATACTTTAATAATGCTTTAGAGATACATGTCATCAATATAATAAAAAAAAGAGTTTTACTATTAAAATTTAGAGGTAAAAATATCAGCAAAAAAGTTTGAAGTGCGAACTATCGGAATACTGTAAGGATGTTTTCAGCCACAGCTAGGAAGGTTTTTGTGAAAAGACTCGAGAGTGTCTATGCTTCGAATTAATCATTTCTAATGAACATTATTCCTCAGTTTGGTTGGGGTTTTAGTGAGAATCCACTTTCAGTTTTGGGAGTACCGGTAAACATGGAGGAGAGGCTACTCTTTATATTTTAGATAGAGCAGAGAAGGATTGTTGTTGCCTTTCGGCTATGTTTCAAACGCATTTAAAAAATAGTCATACCAGGGTGGTGGGTGTACAAAATACAGCTCGAAAGTCTGCTCTTTGCCTTAAGAATATGTGTCCACACAGACCCAAAAGTGTTTCAAACCAAAATTTTTACTACATGTTCGCTATAAATTTCAGATAAATACAAATATTTAATCTATGCTTCAACCGGAATATTTCATCCCCTCGTACAAACAGCTCTTTTTCTTTTAAAATCGAAAAAAAAAACGAAAAACCAAAAGATTTCAGTCAGTTCGTGGGACAGTGGGCTTTAATCTTTCACTCAATATGCTCAATAAAAAATTATTTACATTATTCGAAAAACTTATTTTAAGCTAATTAGTGTTTTGAAGAATGAGCCGAGCACACTCTGGTTTCAATTTGTCGGAAATATTTTCTTTCAATCATTTTCTAAAAAGAAGCTGATGCAAGCTTTGCTGCTCTTCAGACGGGCAATTGGTATAAGAACCTCGTCATATTCACCCAAAGGGTGTGCCAATTTTACTCTCATTTATCCCTCCAAAAGCTCAGCATACACTAGATATCAGTCGGTATAACAATCTTCTGTAAGTCGCCGCATATTTTTTTTAAGAGCTTTCGAGTATTACCTCTGGCGTCCAGGTTTCAAGGCCTTCGTACTAACGCAATTTTACGTTTTTCTTTTCTAGCGGTTGTTGCTGTAAAGATAAAAAAAAATCCTGAGGTACTCTTTGGGGAAAGTTGCGGGAGTGACAGCTCTTGGCCGGTTACAAATCCGGGTCGTTCCCGTTTATGGATCTGACTGTCACCGGAACTTTTGAATTTTAGTCGCATCTTACGACAGGCATGTCTTACCGCGGGGAAAACCTTGAGCCCCTACGCCGCGGGGCTTCTTTTCTAACGGTAATACCTATCGATGCCATTCTCAACACTTGACTTCTGTCGCACACAGCATGCGTTACGGCCTTATCATGCCATCTCTTTTCTTTACCTTGTTGAAATCCAACAGTTTAATTCAAAACTGTACGTACGGAGATTCCATACCACAGTTCCCTTATTCCGAGTAGCTAATCGCTGCACTCAGAGAGCAGTAGCGCAATTTGAGTAGAAAATTGTTCTTTCGTTTTTTTTTTTTTCATAGATTGCAACTTTTTGGCTTCGAACCAACCTTGAGTTTTTTGATGAGCATTTTGTGCCACATAGAGGTAGCTATGCATTCCTTACCGTTCCCAGATAGTTGTCCGCTTTAATATTGAGTCCTCGGAG